TTCAAATCATATTTAAGTGGACTTGGATTTGGTCATTTTGAGATACATTATTAGGCTATGCCAACTGCCTTAATTTAAGGCCTACTCAATTTCTTTTTCTTAGTCTTTTAAATGTTACTTAAATGTAGTTAGATTCTCTCACAAAGCCAACTTGAGATCACCATACAATTCAATTTCTCTTCCTTCAGTTTATACAGTAAGCAGAGTTCTGCATGTGGAAAGGGAAGGAGTATAGAATTGCTGAGGCTTCTATTCACCCAATTTATATACTTGAATTTTCTACCTTTTACCAAATAACATATTCCACCCTGCTGAACCTTTTAAAAGGTCAACTGCCACTTTGAGAGGGTTTGTTTCAATCTTTTCTGTGGCCTTCTTTTCAAGGGCTGTTTCTCTGATTTCCTGGCAGTGTACTTATTTCATGGGAAACATTCCTTTTAAGAGAAGTACAAAGCCTCTTCTCAAGTTCTCTTTGAAATTCTTCCTCATTCATGTTCGCTAGGTTTCCCACTAGTTTAAAATTTTATTTCAGTTTTAGATGTCCTATTGTCTGTTATATTCTATTTTAGAATACATAGATTTCCCAAAATGTATTTGGACTATGTGCGTTTAGGTATGCATGTACCCGCCCCCCTCCCCCCATCACCGCAACACACACACACACACACACACACACACACACGCACGCACACACACACGGGCATTTATTTTGTAACTTTTGTGCTTACTCCAGAGCTTACTTCTTAAAGGTGCTTCACAGGACTCTTTACTTGTTCTCAAATGGTTTTACATGTTGTCTACAGTCCGTGTATTATATTTGTAAGGCATTTTATGCTCAGAGTAATAACTGGATTTCAGCCTTCCCCTCCTCATCTCTAAATATTTGCGCATCACAGACAAACTCCATTTCATTGTGTTCATTACTAGGGATCTGAAAGAGCAAAACCTAAATATTTCCTCACTGAAACAGTAAAGAAGTTTGTTTTAACATGGCTAGTCTGTAACGTGTGTTTCCCTCCTGGCTTACAAAGCCAACTCTTTAACGCTGGCCCTGCAACCAGAGCCCTTGTCCTGCTGGATAGGAGCAAGTGTGGGGTGACCAAGATTCGTAAGAACTCAGTTATACAACGCATGTGCCTGTATGTATGAAAAAGCTTATGTTTATGTCAATGAAATACATTATCTGATTAAAGTGCTTTCCAAGTCTGGAATCCAAATAGTAAACAGGATGGGGAATGTTGACAGAACAAACATTCCAAAACTAATACAAAGCCCGTAACTTAGCTTAGGGGAAACAAGGTTTGCATAAAAGCAACAGATGACCATTTCCAAAATATCCATTCACACGTTTTTGCTCAAAAGTCAGTATGAACAGATTAAGAAAAGTCCGAAGTTTCAAGAAACTAAACTTTTAGGAAAACTCTAATGGACTCTAACACGAATAAACCATTTCAAAGTGTATTTGAGATGAACCTTTTTTTGCTTCTCTTAAGAATACTTTGCAGAAAATAAGCATATTGCCATAAAAGCAGAGAAATGAACCTTGAAAATAGAGCCACTGGAAACATACTACCTCCCTGGGTAAGGTACTTAACTGCTTTGTGTCTTGGTTTATTCTTACATAACTGTGAAAGAACGCACTCAGTGGGCATACAGGAAACATTCAATAAATGCCAGCGATTGTTTGGTGACTGTCTCCTCTCTCGTAAGTCAGGAAACAGCTAATATCATCTGTGTTTCCCTTACCCTCAACTATGAGAAGACTCTGGAAAGTTTCCTGGTATTAGGAGCTGCTCTGAAGGGCTGGTTGGAAAAGATGAAGAGACTGTTGCCACTATTTGGAGCAAACAGGAGATGTTCACAGCTCTGGCCAAACTGAAGGGCCCCACCACGAAGGAAAGAGTGTTTTTGATGACAGTGACTTTGGGACTTGAGTCTGTTTTTCTCGTTTTAGGTCAGTGGCAAAATAACTGGGACTTATGTAACGAAATAACTTGGCTGGCCAATGGCCGGCGCACCCGCATGCCTGTCACAACCCAGGTAAGGGAAGCATTAGCAACTTGTCTGCCACTACATCCCAGAGTGGGAGAATGCTGGCCACACCTGCTGAAGGCTGCAGCACGAGCTTTAAATGGAAACAAAAATCTTTTCTTCAGGAATGAGGTCGGAGCTTTTCTGTTAGCTTGTTTGATTCGGAGAGCCAGATACGGCTGGAGAAAAGGCAGCCCGCTTGGAGACAGAGCTAGAGGTTTTGGCCGGTGGCACCTCTTTCTGAAGCCTTTACACTTCTGTCCATTATTTTCTTTTTTATTTAAAAAAATTTTTTTTTAACATTTTATTTATTTTTGAGACAGAGAGAGAGACAGAGAGAGCATGAACACGGGAGGGTCAGAGAAAGAGGGAGACACAGAATCCAAAATAGGCTCCAAGTCTGAGCTGTCAGCACAGAGCCCGACGCGGGGCTCGAACCCACGGACCGCGAGATCATGACCTGAGCTGAAGTCGGCCGCTTAACCGACTGAGCCACCCAGGCGCCCCGTCTGTCCATTATTTTCTGAGGTATAACCTCAGCTCACCATTTTCTACCTTCTTCTAAATACTTTGTCTGCAAGGCCTTTACTTCACTTTTCGAAAAGTGCCTACAAAGAAATGGCACTTGCGCCACTGGCTGGAGGTTCCTCCAGCCAAACAGCGGAGGAAGGAAACTGTCAGGACACAATACCACACACACACACACAATACCACACACAACCACAATAAAAACTGCCATGGATTGAAGGAGGAGGGGGGTGGACAAGCGAAATGGGTGAAGGCGGTCAAAAAACTTGACTTCCCGTTATAAAATAAGTCCAGGGGATGTAAGGTACAGCATAGTGACTACATTAATAATATTATATTGTATATTTGAGCCATTGCTAAGAAAGTAGATCTTAAAGGTTGCTCAGGGGGTACATCTTAAAAGTTCTCATCACAAGAAAAAAAAAATGTGTAGCTACGTGAGCTGTTGGAAGTTAACGAGACTTACTGGGGTGACCACTTCGATTTATAAATCACATGTGTGGGGGATAAGCTTAGGAATCCCCCGAGCTTACACCAATGGGTTAACAAGGCATAATGACATACAAAGTCATAAAATGCTCACACCTGAGTTTGGGTAAGCCAGATTGGCACTCCAAGAATAGGGGAATGCAAAGACACCCCAAGAATAGGGAGGCACAAAGGTGCCAGGAGTAGGGAGGTGCAAAGACACCCCAAAAGAGAGGGGGTGCAGAGTCCCCAAAATAGAGAGGGAGAGGCAAAGGCCTGAGACAGAAACGGTGCAAAGGTGCCTGATACATAGGTATAGGAAATAAACAAGATTAGATGTTCAGGGTGAAAGCACCCCCAATTTAGTAGTATAGCAGAAAAGCTGCTTTCACAGGAGAATAGGGCCAGGTTAGGTAAATTGGTGAACTGGACTATGGACTGCTGTGCTGCAGGCAAAGCAGCCGGAAGCAGAGATGGTTAACAAAAAGAAAGGTGCCTTATTCACCCTGAAGCTATTCCCCCTGTCTGTCTCATCCCCTAGGCTAGCTAAGATAAACAGGCACTGCGCCTCCTGTCTGCTGTTAACAACCATCTACCCATCTGCCCGGTGCCCGGATTTTGTTTTATATTGACCCAAACCCCAAACCCGAAAAACTGTATTTCTTCAAAACCCCGCTCTTCCCTCACATCCCCAAGTTAAAGTTCCTAGTTTCTTTGTCTCTTTGTGCAGGCCCATCACGTTTGCAAGCCTTCTGATCTGAATAAATACGGGGCAAGGACCCTTATTCGGGGCTCTTGTCTTTTTCCTGGACATGAGCCATCTCTTGCTTTCATCCTGTGTCTGCTCTTCTGCTGGCCAGAAGAGAACTCTAGACTTAAGAGTCTACGACACACACATATAATCTTACACATGACCATGTTATACACGTGAAACATGTTGTATGTCAGTTATAGCTCAAAACAAAAACAAAAACGAAATATGTCATCCACTGAACCCTCCCTCTGGGCTAGCCTCATCCCAGAGCGTGAGTACACGCCCGGAGCTGCACTCTCGTGGGGCCAAACGTGGACACAGCAAACCCCAGGGATGTCTCAAGCACAAGCATCTCCGGGAGCCAGGCAGCCGCAAGCCCCACCTGCCAGCTCCCGCCCCACTTCAAGGCCAGCGCCCAACAGGAAGCCCCGCGGGAGAACTTTCGCTGGTCGGAAGCCACAAACACAAGTCTGTGAAGGCAGGGCAGCCCTAACCCCCTTTTGAGTCCTGGCAGCTTCCTGGGCTGGACTGAAATGAACGCTCTAGGAGACGCGAGACTAGAGCTGATGCTTCGCTCACCCCGACCACCTTCACTCAGGCCTGAGGATGGGGCAACAGGAGACCAATTCTCGCCCTACCCTTTCCGCCTTCCTCTCCTAATCTGCAGCCGGGAAGAAAGTTCAGAGGAAGGCCTCGCCTAAAGAGCGTTTCGGCACCCCTGATTGCGCAGGCTCCGTCCACGGGGGGCAAATTTCGGGGCCAGGGACGCTCCGCACTGCGGCCTCCCTCCTCCGCTCCGCTTTCTGGCGTCACGCGGCTGCCTCACGTGCGCCCCGCGCCCCCTCGCAGCAAAGAGTTAACCAAGTGGGGCCGGCGCGCCGGGCCACCCGCTCCGCCGCAGCCGTGCCCAGCCGCCCCCCGCGAAGCATCTCGTGGCGGTGCCCGCGCCTCGCCTCTTATACCACCACTCACCCCCCCACTCCCCGCTCGCCCACGTCGGCCCGGGGCAGGCTCCGCGCGCCCGCGGCTGCCGGCTCCGTCCCGCCGCCACGCCCGGCCGTCTCCGCGCCCCGGCCCCCGGCCCCCCGCGCTCGCCGAGCTCCCCCTCGCACCCGCTCGCACCCCCTCGCTCGCCCACGTCAGCCGCACTCGGCTGGGATCGGTCGGGGAGCCCGGCCGGCGCGTCCCTCCCCGCTGCCTCCCAGGAGGTGCCCAGTACCGATGCCCTGGATGAAGACGAAGCCAGTGACCACGAGCACCGGGTGCCAGTTAAACTCGAGCGCGGTCCCGTCCCAGCCGAGTCCCTCCCGGTAGTGGAGGACCCAGATGAGGGTGAAGAGCACGGACAGGAAGCCGACGAGCAGCGCCGACACCAGCAGCCCCAGAAAGCCCCTGTAGCCGTCCATGGCCATCAGAGCCCCATACTCCGCGCCTCAGCAGCGACAGAAATTCTGCCAGGCGGCGGCGGCGGCCTCCGGGCACTCCTGGGAGCCGTCTCCGCCCGGGAGGAGGGGCTTCCTCGCGGGCCTGCCGGAGTGTGGGGCCTCCCGAGGGTGGGCAGCTCGCGCTCAGAAACCCGCCCCACCCCCGAGATCTCGGGCCGCCCCCTGGCCCAGCATCCGGTAACCGATCCAGTTGGTTGTTGAGAGCCAGGGAGCGCGGAGGATTCCATGCCCGCCGCTTGCTTTTGACTCTGCCCTCGTCTCTTATTTGTGGGGAGACGAAGGCAGTGGTGCTCGCTCTAGGTTATGAGAAGAGATGGGACTGTGTGTCGATGTGGATTAAGGAAGCCTCCAGAGCCCCAGCCCTGAGGATTGGCCGTCTTCGATGCCAGGAATGCGCCAAGGAGGCCCTACCTAGCAAAGCAAACTACTCGCGGTTTGAGCTTTCGACAGGGAAGACAGACATCGTCTGGACCCTGGACTTGCCTATATAGTGTCAGAAATAGTGGATCTTAAATGCGCTCACCTGCACAAACCTATTTGTAACAAAGCCCTGCTTTGATGAAGTGAAGCTTCTTCACTCTTTTGCCCTCTTTCCAGCATCATTGTCACCCTTCTCCATTAGACAAGGGACGTGGTGTTGTCATCTGCTGCTGTTAAGGAAAACGTGGCTCTGGCTGTTAGGGCTTCTAGAATGCATTTGGGAACGTTCACTTCTAGCCGTCGCCTGTAGCTCATCTCCAAGGACTGGTTTACCGTATTGTGTCGTTGTGCCATTTTGAAAGCCCTGAGAATGTGCAGGTGCTGTATGGAAGTGCTTTTCAACAGAAAAGACCAGTTTTCAGCCCAGGAAGCAGGAGTGTCAAGCCCTGGTGGTAGGGCAGGATCAAGGGTTAAGAGTAGGAGGCTGCAGACTTCACCTAGGTCATCATTTTTCCCTTGGTGGAGAAACAGAGGGAGAGTAAGCAAATGGAAAAAAAGGACGCCTCCCCGCAGTACAAGGTTTTCTAATGGTCTGGCCCAACCTAGCCCTCCACTCATCCTTTTACACCCTTACCCCCCTGATGTCCATGGTTGTAAACTTCTCACCCAGATGACCACTCTGTCCACATGCTCGCTTCTAAATTTTCCTGACTCCCATCTCCACCAAGAAACCTTCCCTGAATCTGCTCCTGCCTCTGTTTTATGCCTCCACCCACTCACCTCCCCATCCCATGCCTGGCTGCATCATTTATCAAGATGTGATATAAACATCTGTTCCTGTGGCTGTCTCCGCTCCCCAAACTGCCCTCTTGAGAGTGTTGTCTAATTTATCATTATATTCTTCCTTGGCATGTAATAGTTACTCAGTAAAGTTTGTTGGGGAGATGAATCAAACTGAGTGTGCCAGGGTCCTAGCAAGAAACAGGTGGTACACTCCAACTGGGCAATTTAGCAATGAACTGGACTATTTACAAAGTTGTGGGCTGGGTGTGGGAAACCACAAGGATTTTGCAGTGCCCAGGCCTGAAGGAAAGAGGGTTACTGGAATCCAGAGACAGAGCTATGTAAAGAGCGCAGTATGACTGAGGTTATGGCCTTGAGTTGAGGGACACAGCCAGCCTGCAGCAACCCCACAGGGAGAATGAGAGGCAAGATGAATATTCCAGCTGTACTTTTTTCCTCTCCAGTCTCCTGTCCAGAGTCCCAAATGGCTGACCCTAACCAGAAGCCAGAGGATAATTGATCTAGTCCATAAGGGTTAGCTTCTCAGGACATACAACAGAGGGGGAAAAGGTACAAGTAAACCTGTAGGAATAAACTATCACCAAATCTTCCAGTTTTATTTTTTCAGATTTTTTTGGTTCCTGGGTGCTGCAGACGTTTCCTGTTTAACTTTATACTGCTTCTCTTCCTTTGTGATCTTTAACTAGCAGTTCCTTAACAATGTCATTGTGTCCCTATTCTTCTTCCTTAAAGTGTCTACTCCTCGTTCCCAGTTAACTTCACCCCTTTAACTCGGCATCTGCACTTCACTCATGAGTTAATTTTTCTCCACAGAAGCAGAAAATAAGAATCTCTGGGATTCCAGGGGTGCCTGGGTTGCTCAACTGGTTAAGTGTCTGACCCTTGATCTCAGCTCAGGTCTTGATCTCAGGGTCGTGAGTTCAAGCGTTGGGCTCCACTTTGGGCTCTATGCCGGGCATGGAACCTATAGAGAAGGAGAAGGAAAAGAAGAAGAATCATCTGGGGGATTCCAGATTCCATTTAACAAAACTTCTCAGGAGAATGAAAACATGGCCAAATGGTACAGATGGTATTGAAGTTAGAAGCTAAACTGAGAGACTTTCAACTTTTAAACTTCTCAAAAGTTCAGAAGGAACAGAAAACCAATGAATCATGGAAGCAGTGATTAGTAAAAGTGTATTTATTGCACACACACCAAAAAGACAGTTTGTAAACTAGGAGCATTCAACCCAAAACATGGAATGAGGTTCAGGAGTATAGGTGTATTGTTATAAAGCAGCTTATAGGGGCGCCTGGGTGGCGCAGTCGGTTAAGCGTCCGACTTCAGCCAGGTCACGATCTCGCGGTCCGTGGGTTTGAGCCCCGCGTCGGGCTCTGGGCTGATGGCTCAGAGCCTGGAGCCTGTTTCTGATTCTGTGTCTCCCTCTGTCTCTGCCCCTCCCCTGTTCATGCTCTGTCTCTCTCTGTCCCAAAAATAAAAAAAAAAATTTAAAAAAAGCAGCTTATATAGTTAGATAGCAGTGATTGTTTATTTTTCACAGTGATTGGTTGTATTTCTTCAAATTTATTTATTCTGAGAGAGAGGGAGGGAGGGGCAGAGGGAGAGAATCCCAAACAGGCTCCACGCTCAGCTCAGAGACCCATTTGGGGCTTGATCTTAGGGCCTTGTGATCACAACCTGAGCCAACATCAAGAGTTGGACACTTAACAGACTAAGCCACACAGGCGCTCCACAGTGATTGGTTTTAATACTAGAATTTTCTTAAAAGATAGGGAATTGATTAGTGGTTATATCGATCTTAGGAAACAGTTCAAGTTTTGCTTATGATTTCCAGAGGCATAAGCAAGAAATGACTTTGGCAAGTCAGTCTTGCAAAATGAGCTAAATTAAGCTTTGCTTGTATAATTAAACTGGTTTTGTTTGCTCGGGGAATTTTCAAGCTTGGTCTTTGTCTCTTATCTTAACATCCGTTAAAGACCTAACTTTGATAAAACTTGTCACTTGAAAGAGGAAAATTTTTAATAAATATTGTTGTGGCTTAGTATTAACTTTTTAAAACAAGAGTTGTTCAATACTAGAAGTTCCCCTTGTGAGATGGTAAACAATTGGTCACCAAAGTCTGACTAGATAACTTGTCAGCAATGCTCTCAAAGGGATTTCTGATGTGTGTAGGGGGAGAAGGGAGGGTGGGCAATGAACACGATAGCCTTCCTAAAAACCTGTGATGCTACAAACACGTACATATTGACAGATTTTGTTTTGTTTTGTTTGTCCCTGACAAACATAGAATTCAGAGTAAGGAGATAGGATGTGAAGGGGTGGGGAAAGGAAATCCAAACCCCGTCCGTCATGAGATTAGGAACCAGGTGTTCTATATGCCATTTATCTACTGAATTTCCATGAGGTAATGTTGCAGTTCTCTTGGTGCATACAGAAGTCCAATATTCTAATGTAAAGTATAATAAGTTGTGCATAGTGGTTTGCCTTGTTGGATAAGTGGACTGTTTTTTTTTAATTCAAATATTGACTGTGTGTTGGGGACTCTGCCCCTCCATTCTCCATCCTTCCTTGGCTTGCCTTCTGCCCTGGCAGGCTCCTTGCCCATTGGCTTCCAGTTGGCTGTGGCCAGTACACTGAAGGAGATTAGAGGGCAGGAAGAGAGAGAGGTCAACCTACTTATCCATCTGTGCCCCTTTGCTAGGCCATGGTTTTTGCAGTGGTTGCATTCCTTTGCCACAACAGTGTTTGAGTGGCCCCTCTTCCATAGCTATAGCTCTCCCAGAGTTCAGTAACACCATGCCTCCTTGCGTATAAAAGGCCTGTATGTGGTGCTGAGCACCCCCTTGCTTGTCCCTTGTTTTCACCATTCTTTGTTGGGTTTTCTTAAGTCCATTTGCACCTCTGTAAATACTCCCTTTATTACACTCTCCTCGGTTAAACCTTTGTGCAAACCCACTGTTCCCTGCAGGACCCTGACAGAGACAAGTAGAAAAATTACCTCACCTAATACTACTCTTCCCCTAGCCCCACCTAACTGCCTATGCCTTTTTAGGACATATTATGAAAAGAGGAATATATGAAACAAGAAAAAAACCACAAGTAGGAGGAATGAGCTCACACATCTTCCTGTTCTCCCTTCTACTGGACAGATTTGGGGATCAGAAAGCTGTCTCAGTGACTCACAGCTGACACCATGACGCATGATGTAAACCAAGCTCAAGCAGTGGTCACAGTGTCCTAGCAAAATAAAGCAGAGTTTAGGACTTTGAAAAGAACAAAAACCCATGTTCATGGGTGGAATATACTTCCTTATGTGAGGCTAGACTGTGCCGTCTTTGGGGAAAAAATAAATGTGTGCTTTGTTGAGGTGTTTCTCCTTTGAGGGAACTGGTGAGGAGATTATCTCCAGCTCTGGCTGTGGGGAGACTAGCTGTGCAATCAGCCTCTACTGCCTCCCTAACTCAAGAGAATCTCCGAGTCTACCTGCCCCAAGAGGGCAGGGCTGGAGTAAGAATAGACTTCATTTCAGGAACCCCAGTTTGGGAAGAGGTAGAAAGTAACTCTCTTCCTGAGGGAGCAGAATGGTACACCAGCCTGGGAGGCAAACACAAGAAGAGGAAGATATCTGGGGAGAACAGAAGAAGCGAGGAAATCACCTAAAAAGGTGCCCAAGCCAAAGGCTTAACTCAGTAGGGCCTCTTCCCTGTAGGACATAGAGGGGAGGGGGTTAGATCAAGGCATTAGTTTTGTTCACCCACGCCATACTGCTCTGTAAGATCTAACTGACCCTTCATTTACTTTTTAAAATTGCTTCCATCATCATCATGAGAGTTTGCTGAGGCAGGAAGCACTTGGGAAATGGATTGATAACTCTTCCTAATCATTTAATCATCTGGCAAAGTAAAATTACAATGGCCCTACTCTGGGCCTA